CTGAGCGGACCGGAGCCGGAGGCCCCAGTCCCAAAATTCCATGGACGCCATGGTATTCCATGGTCGCAATTCCATGGTGGAGGTCTGTTTTCCATGTGATGCTTATCATATTCCATGTGTGTTTCCATGGACGTTTTATCATGGAAAAATTATTTCCATGCGAGAGGACTTCATGGGACGACCCTTTTTCCATGGGTAGCCCTATCCCATGTGGCGTTTTTCCAGTTTGACCATGGAATCGACTTCCCATGCAAATTAACAACGCTGTAAAATCTGTAGTTATTCGAACTTTGAGCTAAAATTCGGTATGGGGTATCTACAATGAATTTTAGTAGGGCCATTTAAATTTTATTGAAATCGGAGCATTTTTTTTCTGGCAACTCGAAAACGGCTTGAGCTATGGCAAAACGGACACCAGATTTGGCTCTGCCTCGCTTTCGACACCCTACACACGTTGTTTAAATCAGTTCGATAAGTCTTTGCCTTCGTCTCTTTCTCAAGTTTAACATTTTTTCATTACCAAGGGAAGGGAGTTTATTACCATGGAGTAGGGTTCCATTACAGACCTTATTTCCATGGAAGATTAGTCACATGGCAGTCACAAAAGCAGATCTAAAGGCGCGCGCGCGCTAGGGTTCGAGGTCAAAGTAAATTTCGAGTAATTTTCAGTAAAAAACTAGTAATTTACAGTTTTTTACTTTGCCTCAAAGAAATTTACTTTAAGACGTACTTGGTACCAGAAGTATTTCGCCCCGCATATTTCCGTAGTTAGACTGTACCGCATACTCACCCGGGGCGTACGGCGCCGTCAGGGAACCCCACCCGCGTCCGTGCATGCTGTTGTAAGTCTACACAACATGGGCGGGGTAATTCATTAACGCAGTAAATATGTTCTGTCCCAACATTGAACCTTTTTCAAGGCGATGCTCATTCTGGCGCCTGCAACGCGCTAGGTAGGCAATAGGCGATCCCACCAGACAGCTCAGCGCTTTAGCCCACGGCTTTGGGGGATGGGGACGCGTTTACGGTGACGGCAGAGGGTCGTGGATGGCCTGGAAGTCACTAGCATCCAAGCAGAGCGGCTGGGCCACCGAGCCGGCTGCCGCCAGCAGGGCCGATTCGGCCCGTTTGCACTGGGACAGAGGGCACTCTGCTGTCAGGGAAATGAACGGGTATTGAGCGTCCGTCACGACGGAACACTTCATCATGCCTGGGCCAAGTTGGCCGTCTTGGAGGAGCTACCTCAGCTGGTCGCTCGGGGACTGGTGACGGCGCCGATACGCGTACCAGAGCTTGACATCGCGACGACCTGTCGGCACTCTTCGACTCGTAAGCGACCACCGAAGAAGTAGCGCGGCATTTCGGCTGGACTCGACAGTACAAGACTAGGGAGAAAGGGGGTGAGGGTGAAAGGGGGTTGTGGGAGGGGAATGCCATAACTAAGAAAGGCGTACGGGGAGTTTGTGCCTTGAAATGGGATAAAATAGGATAAAATTGGATGAGGATGAAATGATTTTGATCGGAGAACCACAGCAAAACATTCAACTACCCTCCAGAAATCGCTAAAACTACGTATTTCTTAAAAATGAGCTAATTTCAGTAAATAACTCAAAAAAACAGTAATTTACTGAAATGTACCCAGGTTTTTTACTCGAAACCAAAATTACCGGTAATTTTAGAACCCTAGCGCGCGCGCTGTGAACACGCTCGAAGTGTACTGCAGAATGCACGATAGTCGCGAGACGTGCTGAATGCCTCCCAGCCGCCATCAATTAGTGACTCTTGAACAACACCGTAATTAGTCTGCACGGCACGGCCATGAAAACTGGTGACCAAGTTGCCAAGTAACAAACCGCTGCAGACTTTGCCCCGGCGCGGCGTGGCGCTCAGACACAACATTATCATCTAAGCGCTCAAAGATGATGATGTTAATGGTGGCGGCCACGACTGAGTGTCTAGAGAGAGTTTGTCACGCGAGTAAGGGGTTGGGG